ACATTTTAGCAGCGTTTTTTGAAGCTTCAGAGAAAAACTATCGAAAACGTTAGAGTGCAAAAAGTGTTGCCTAGTTCCTGTACGGTTTTCTCTCAAGCCTTCACAGTTATTTGATTTCGGTGGTGTATCCAAAATGAACGAACCGGAGTAGCCACACGTTTCGCCTTGATCAGCAAACAATTGACGGAACCGAAATACCGAAATTCGCTCAGACTTTGTCTTAAACCCCGCCTTTAATCCATTTGTTTCGTGGTAGACCGCCTGAAAAAAGTCAAATGTTTTTTTCCCCTCTGAAATTACTTTTATCAGCAACTTGAGTAATAAAAAGGTTCTCATTGCAATATGGAATTACGAAGATTTGAAGCATTGATAAAAATACACCTGTCCGAAATAACACTGAATTATCAAACCTATCCGAGTAAAAAGAGGAAATTAAATCCCAAACGCTCATTTCTTGTTTGGTTTCCCTTTGTTGAATGACAGCAAGGCAAATAAATTCAAATTTCTATTCGGTATGAAATAAGCGCCGGCTTTTGTCAAACAGATTTCAACTGAACGTGCGAAAATGCGAAAGCTTCCCTTGTTTATTAGTCCTGTCGTCAAATTAATTTTCTTGTGAGTGTCAGAAAGCATAAATTACTTGCAGGTGGTGAAAGAGATTCAAATACTGTCATTGATTGCCCGGAGAAAAATTTCCAGAGTGAACTGTTACAGAAACTAAGGTAAGCAGCGGAAAGGCATATTTTGGTTATTTATAGTGAGTTTTGTTTAAGTTTCTTTTTTGAAATAAGGTCTTGAAAGGGATAAGTTTGCCATTCGTTATACGAGATTTTGCCCGAGCCACAATTGTTTCTTGAAGCGAATAGATTTCGTCCTAAATTTTGACTAATTCTTCTGTAAAAATATTTCCAAAATCTTTTTATTTTTTTAGCTGGAATAATTGCAGCGCGTTCTTAATACCAGTCTCACATAAATTCATAGTAAAATCAAGTAAAAACAAATTAAATCCATCATTTTCCTCGACTATAGTACAAAAAGGTGTTTTTCATATCAGATTTTCAATTTATAACAATCTGCGCTAGGATCTCTCTCTAAAAGACACTAAGAAATAGCACTTAGGCACTTAGATATCCAAGTAAATTGAAAAAAAAATTGACTGCAAAGATTGCTGACGAAATCATTTGTCAATAATACCCTCTGCTAGCCAAGATATCAATTAAAGCCGTTGAACCCTGACATAGATAAACTTATAAGTTAAATATTTCACAACCATTTAGTCCCAGCCAAAAATGAACCGAAAACGTCTCCACTTAGACATATTTATCGCTTGAAATCTTCGGAATTACCAAATTAAAAAAACATATGATTTTGTTCTTTTGTTGGTTTGTTTTTTTGTTTTCTCTTCAAGCGTGGACTTCAAGGTTTACGTCGGTTGGACGGGCGGTCTATCGATTCAACAGATTTGTCCTGAAAATTTCACTTTTCTATTTTGACCTGGTTGAAAGGTAAACTACAAATAAACCCCAGATTACACAATAAGAGATCATTTGGACTGGATCTTGCAATTCTAAAACTCCCACAGCTAATGATGCGTCTAGGTTTTCTATGTGAGTAACCGAAAACGCCACATCGTTACACAATTCTGTACGTTCTTGCAATTAAATCTACCCGTGCCACATTGTCAGTTCTGAAAAGAATCCTTTATCGATTATCAGGCCCTGCATTTGCTTTTATAGCATGTTGGATGATATGAGCTTTTATTTTTGGCCGGACCTTGCAGCTTTGCATGTTAATTGATTTTCTTTCTTGTTTGTTTGCTTTTCGAATATGCTAGATATTCTGTAAATGCTCCGGAAAGTCGAATCTAGAAGAATAAAGCAAAAATAAATAACTCTAGATCTTTTTCTCCATCAGGGTTCATTTAATTGATGTTATCTCGGGATGAAGTCGACCATGATATTCTTTGGTAAACAACCTGCCAGTTTACAATGCCTCTGAACATGACAGGGCCTAATTTTCTGAGTGTGTGTGTGAGAGAGAAGCAAAACGTGCTTAGCACCAAAGGATTGAAAATCAATATGACATGGGATATATCATCAGTTATAGTCTTTGCTAGCTGAAAACCAAATAAACCAGTAGAAAAATAAACGGAAATTAGAAAAGTTCATATATGAAACGACTGCAATTTACGGCATACATCAACCATAAAATTTACAAAAGAATATATCATTTAATGACCAAATCATTTAATTTTGTAAGAAAAGCCATAGTTTAGTAATGTTGCGTTTTGCCAATAAAAGATGGACATCTGCTGAAGGTAATAAAGTATGGAAATTATTTTGCAAATGAATCGACCCATCGTAGCTACATGTAAGATTCTTCATCATTCGTAAACAACCTGGATGTTTCGGTGGTATATTTTCATAAAATCTGAGGCACAAACGTAAGGTGGTCATATTTCACCACAAATCCAGTCTTGTAAAAAGCACGAAGCTCACATCTGTCAAGGTAAAACAAGCTAGACGTTTTCAATTTGTGTTCGTATTGAATTCAATGTTTTTTTTTCTTTAACAAAAAAAAATCTGCGATTAGATCCGGTTGGAATCGAGTTTAACAACTTATCGAAGTGGTATTTGATTTGGTTAAACCTGTTGGTCTTCTATGTAATCAGAGGCATATAGTTTTATTTCGGAAACTGTTTTAAGTTTCGCCGAGATAATGTAAGCGATAAAAAGAACCTACGGAAAAACTATATGAGAAATTTCATCGTAGTCGAGAAAACAGACATGACTGTAACCGAGTGATTTCTACAATCAGGGGCAAAACTAGTTGAGGCACTGCCCGAAAGCAAACTTTCTCCCTTCAAGTGTAATTTGTCCCATCCGCACTTCTCATATTTCGTCCCCCTCCCCTCTTTCCACTGTTGTAACCACGTAACAGCGTCGTCAAAGCTATCCAAGGAAGTACGGTTCGAAAACGTCCGATTTGCAAAAATGTCTCAACAATTTTGTCCCATATTTTAGTTCGGTTTTAAAAGCGTTTCATATCTACAAGTAAAAGTTACTACCTAAACGTTTCTTTTAAGGTAGACTATTGTTTTTGTTGAACGTTAAATAGATTGACAATTTTAGTGATTATCTCTTACAGTCATCTCTGAAGACATTTAATGTAGATGGTAAAAGGGAAAGACAAAGTGTAGCATATCGAGACTTTACGATTTGACACCATGACCTGTCTGCCGACCGTACATGTCTGCATATTGCTGGCTCAAGCACGCCTAATCTTGGCAAACATCAGCCACGATACGAGCACAGGGATACCAGGCAAGAAACAAGGCAACGTTACATTGGGTGGCCTGTTTTTTCTTCACTACAAAGGAATCAACAATGAAGAATGTGGAGATTTCAACGTCCCTGGATTAGGGCATGCACAGGCAATGATCTATGCCATCGAGAAGATTAATAATCACTCTAACTTACTTCCAAATATATCACTTGGTTACGAAATTCACGACTATTGCGAGAGTGCATCGCTTGCCATGAAAGCTACCTACCATTTTGTCCAAGGCACGGACTCGCATTTCGCATGCTCACACGAGTCTACACCGCTGACACTAAAAAACAACGACACAGTCGAGCAACCTAGTCCTATTGTCTCTCTGATTGGGCCCGCAGATTCCGGCAGCTCAGTACTTGTGGGAAGCTTGCTTAAAGTTGCTGGTATTCCAGCGATCAGTTACGCCGCTACCAGTGAAGAGTTAAGTTCTCCATTTTACAAGCACTTTTATCGCACCGTGCCTTCGGACAAGCAACAGGCTAGCGCAATGGCCGATCTTTTTGAGTTTTTTCATTGGAGTTACGTGGGTGCTGTTGTTGTCGATGATTCGTACGGAAGATACGGAGTCTGGGCGTTGGAAAAGGAATCATTCACCAGAAAATCGTTTTGCATCGCTCTTTCCGAATACATCCCACGTTTAAACTACATGAGCAAGATTGAAATTGTAGTTTCCAAGTTAAAACGACATACCAATGTCAAAGTGATTGTTCTTTGGTTGTTCGGTGGCTATGGAAGAGGGTTTCTTAAAGAAGCAGAAAAACAGAACTTGTTAGATCGTACCTGGATTTTGAGCGATGCACTCGCAGCCGAACAACCAGAGACGCATATTCAGTCACTATTTAACGTCCTTGATGGAGCTCTTGGCATACAACCACTTTATCACCACAGTAAAGAATTTGAAACGTATTTAACGGAGCTTACTCCGGAGACCATAATGGATAAACGGATTACTTACTGGTGGGATAAACTTTGGATGTCAGAATTCAATTGCTCCGTGTTGAATACCAAGAACTTCCTTAGGTGCGACCACAATGTCACTCTGTCTTCAAACGTTGTTCAAAAGTTGTACGACGCGTTCCTCCCTTACGTCATCGAAGCGGTTTACGCCGTGGCGCATGCTCTTCACAACATGTACTTCTGCACAGAACCTCATGGTCTGCTTCCAGGGGGGAGATGTCCTGATACGCACCCCTCCGTACATCCACTAGATGTTGACTTGTACTTAAGAAATGTTTCGTTTGAGGGACTAATGGGAAAGGTTCAATTTGACGAGTCAGGGAACCCTCTGACTTCTTCATATGGAGTGATAAACTTTCAAAGACGTCATGAAAAAGGCGTTACTAAAGATTTTAAACAAATTGTAGGATCATGGAACAAGGCTTCTAAAGAAAGGCTACTCATCGCGGTGGATAAGATAAAATGGAGAGGATCTTTTTCCAATTCCAGTATTCCCAATTCAGCTTGTTCGTTAACATGTCCTCCTGGGACATCACAATCAGTCACAACTGCCTGCTGCTGGGAATGTACCGAGTGTCCTCTGGGCTCTGTCAATCCATACCCTGGGTCTCGGAATTGTTCTGAATGCCCTAAAGGTCAGAGGTCAAATAACGAACGTACGGAATGCGAAAACTTGCCAATTGTCAACGTCAAACTTACGGACACCACAGGTTATCTTACAACCGGTTTCACATCATTAGGGGTGTTACTCACAATATTCTCTTGCCTTGTGCTGATAAAATATCGAGACACACCGCTCGTCAAGGCCTCAAGCCGTGAGCTCAGCGCCATTTTGCTGATGTCCATCGCTATGTTTTTTGCGCAGCCATTTCTGAGTTTGAGGCAACCAACCACTTTAGTCTGTCGTTTGGCGTACTCTTTCAACTACTCCGCACAAGGAACTTGCGTCGCAACGCTAATGATCAAAACCTTGCGCATATTAAGTGCATTCCACGCCAATCTCACCGAAAAGCGAGCCAAACAGTGCATCCTAACGACGAAAATGCAAGCCACCTTAGTAATTTTGTTGAATTCTGCTGTATTTGGTCTTTTGACCGTCTGGTTTCTTCTCGACGCTCCTTACATGGCCAGTGTCACACAACAAGGTGAATTCATATTCTTCACCTGTCGTCCGCATCGCTCCAATCTGGGTTTCGGCCTGCATGTAGCAATAAATGGCTACCTTGTGTTGCTCTCTCTTATTTGTACTTTCCATGCATTTAAAGCGAGAAAATTACCTGAAAACTTCAACGAAGCGAGATATATCGGTTTTGCAATGTATATTCTTCTGTTATCCAGCATAGCTTATTTCCCAGTGGATTTTGTGGGCCTAGAGAATAGGAGCGTAACCATTGTGACATGCGTCACAACACTTGTGAGTTCCTACGGCTTGCTGGGATGTATGTTCGCTCCCAAGCTGTACGTCATACTATTTCATCCTGAACAGAACACAACAGCGGCGGTGAAGGATCAGGTGTCCAATTACACTTTCAGAAACTCGTGGCCCTCGGCACTAACAAGTCAGTCAAACTGAAACTTGGCAAACGTACAGTATATATATAACAAGATGAACCGCAATGAAACAAGCATGATAAGACATGGGTTACCAAAATCACTAATCTGAAACCCAGACCTCTCCCAGCCAGAGTGAGGTCTGGGTAGCAGATTACCGAAACGCTACCTAGGCCGAGGATGATAATAACTCCTGCAACCAGTTTTACTTCGTTTCAATTTGCTGGGGCAATATTTTTTGTTTTCGGAAAGCATCGTTTTCAAAATGTTTTTCGTCCACACTACGTATTTTCCGGCTGTCGCTTGTTCTTTCGGCGGAGACAAACGACAGCCAGAAATACGTCTGTGTTAACAGGCTACACTAAAACGGAAAGTAAGCTTTTTCAAATTTTTCCGGCTTGAAGAGCGTTCTTGAAAAGCTTCGTTTTCGTGACCGGATTAGTGTGGACGGTAGGCCTACACGGAGAAACAAAGCTGCGTTTTCAAATTTCTCCGGTTTGAAGAGCGTTTTTGAAAAGCGCCGTTTTCGTGACGGATTAGTGTGGACGGTAGGCCTAGCCGTAGAAATAAAGCTGTGTTTTCAAATTCCTCCGGTTTGAAGAGCGTTTTTCAAAAGCTTCGTTTACTTGACGGATTAGTGTAGACGGTAGGCCTAACCGTGGAAATGTAAAGCTATGTTTTCAAGTTTCTCCGGCGTAGTTATTTGTGTATTTTTAATGTTAATTGTTTTATTTCATTTCTACCTTTTTCCCTTTTCTTATATGTACACAGTGCAAAACAATAAAAATCAGAAATCTGGTATCCAGTGTAGTCACCTTGCTTGTTATCTGCGGAATTGGAAAAATTAGATCTCCACATCGGAGCATTGTACTGGATGTATCTTCCTGTCTTTCCCTGTGCGCCATACTGAATAATTAGACTAATTATTCGATCGGTTTGATCAAGGAAAAAAAAAATCTGAAGCAGATCGAAAAGGTATGCGGAGAGACGGAAATTGCGAAACATGTTTCCCTCTACACTAGCAATACATCGTATCTTTTAAAAGACATGAATGATATGATTGAAGTTGCGTCTCCTTAATTTAATAATTGGCAAAATATGTTCATTTTGCCTCGGGCTTTTAGTTTGAGTTGTCACTCAAAAAACAACTAAACGGCATAATTTCAATAGCTGTTTGTGTAATCGGCGAACGGAATTTTGGCTATCTGTTTTCCAGTAGTTGTCAGTCTGCCAGTCATTCGTGAAGTTTTAAATTCTACACCCCACGAATGACGCATGAACGATATTCCCTACTCTTTTTACCGCTTTACGTCATCTTGGACTCGTACAAACTTGGCCGCTTGATACTCGAAAGAGAAACAATACGGTTGGTAATTTATTCAGTTGTCATTGACAACTTTAAATAATTCATGCAAATAAAATATGACTGGTTTAAAGTGACATCACCACTTTAGGTTACGCGCTCCGTGATTGGCTAACGTTGACGTAAACGCAAAATTTAGCACAAGTATTGCACCACCAACTGCAGAAATACTGCAATCTTGCGGTGAAGTTTACCTTTCTTGCGATAGTTTCCTCGAGGATAAACGAGGGATCCTACGAAATTCCACTGGGTTGGCCCGCGACTGAAATCGACAGCGTTGGCGCCGAATATTTACTCGTCGGCGTCCAAAGGAAGAATTTCCAAAACGTTCCAGGCTTAGCCACACGACGGCAGATTCGACAAACCTTTCATCTTCAAAAAATTTAAAATGGAAAGTTCTAAAGCAGTCGCAACAAGAGACATCCTCTATGGCAATAATCGAGCCAACCCTTCACAGCCTTTTATTCGAAAGAGTCGACCGTCAGGTCGACTCGATCGAAGGAAAGGAGAACATTGTTTACACAATCGAAGCTGGCGTGAACAACCAAACGAAAATGGAAACGACGGAAAATATTGGAATCGAACCCCCGACTCTGAGTACATGTGGCCTGTTTGATGATCTAGGTAAGATGAAATTTGACAATTTAATTTAACTTACGTAGTATAAATTCACTGAAAATCCCTGTAAACATAGTATTGCTGCCATGTTGAAAACCTTGCTAGTATCGAAATGAGCTATTTGAAGTTGCATTGTGTTCGACGAAGTCTCCTTGCAAAATGAAATTCCGCTGAAATCGAGGTTGATAAAGGTCAATAAGCAAGCTTTATACACGAAATTAATAGCATTACCTTAAAATAAGCTAATTGATCGTATATTGCCCGAACACAACAATGAAGAACTTTCTTCTAGTGTGGTTTCTTGTTCATGTAGTTCGTGGGGTTCTGACCCTCTTTCCTTGTAGAATTATTTCCAGTTATCATGATCAATGTCCTTATGATTGTCATGCAAACTGAACTGAATTTGTTCCTTTACAGATATACTGCATTCTCTGAAAGATACTGAAAGTTTGGACGAGATTTGTCCAGAAGATGCCAAAAGCCCTCTTGGCCTCCTTGACGAGTTGCACATCAAATCAGAGCAAGGGAGCCTTCCACTAGAAAATTTACTGGACCTGGGCGAGTCATCTAGCTGTCTGGACAATCCATTCTTTGAGCAATTCATGGATCTCGACCAGCTGTTTCCAGAACTGCCCCTTCTTGACACTCTGAATTTGGAGTTTGAAGTGGATCAGACCTCCCAGGTCACTGCTTCAGACATTTGCCAGTCAGATGTAGTGACAGTGGTGACTGGGAGTAGCGGGCCCGAGTACGTGGAAGTGTCTTCCCCTGGTAGTGAAGTTATTGATGTTGTTTCACTTGATAACGACGCTGAGGTACCCATATCAACAGATGACTTATCTGATGTTGCTCTCTCTCCAGAGAGTGTTGTAGATGTCACATCTGTGGAAGAAGACTCTGCTAGTCTTGCATCAAGTGCTTGTCATGCCACCCTTGACTGTGACTTAGCTGAACACACTTGTGAAGAGATCACCGTGATTCAGACATCTGATGCCTTGACTCTCTTGACGCAAGAATTGATGCAGTCTTCCTCATATGCCAGTGGTCTCTTGATGACCCCTTCAGAGGAACAGCAATTGGTCAAAGACTCTGAAAGCTTGACAACTATGACAGTTGACTTGGATGAACTTTTCTCTTTCTCACATTCTCTTGGACTTGCTGACAGTTTAGTTACACCTAGTGTCGATGATGCATGCAGTAGTAGTGAAAGTGTTGTAAGTTTGTCAGAAAATCCTGTGAAAGCTCCAGCTAAACTGAAGAGAAAGAGTCCATGTTCTTCAGAATGCACTAGTTCACCTGCAAAGAAGGTAAAGTTTGACGATGCCAGCAAAATCAGCATTGCAGATGTTCTTGACAAACGAACAGTACGGAGATTGAAGAATAACGTTGCATCAAAACATGCTCGTGCTGCCAGGAAGCAGAAAGAACAAGAGTTGTTTCAGCAAGAAGAGGAATTAATGAAAAGCAATGCGGAGTTGCGAAAGCAACTTGAGGAACTTGAAAAGCTTACAGCTACGATGAGGAAAGTTCTTGTACAAAAATTAAGTGGGGTGGCTTGTCCAGTGTAAAGAAAAAAAAATGAAAAAGTATGAGCATTGATAGTAGAAGCAAAAAAACAAAAACGATAAAAAAAGTGAAAGATAAAAAAAAAGTTAGAAAAAAAAAATTGTGGTAATCATTTTCCGTCACGCTTTCAAGTGAGCAATTTTGTAACTATACTCATTATTTACCCAGTATTTTAGCATTCATAAGCTATGTGATTCAGCTATATAAATTAATACATTTTTAATAATTGTATGTATCTGAGTGGGAAATAAACAAGTTAACAATGTACATTTGTTTGTATGATGGAGTCATTGTTCTATTTCTTTGTGTTTCTATGGAGTTCTGTAGACAAGTGAAGTTCGGGAGAACAACAAAATAATGCTCTCTGAGAAACACGAGCTGTAGGCAAAGTGGTTCCAGACATTTTTCAAGTTTTCTCACACTTTCATGTATTGTAATAGTAACTCTAAAAACGTGACCAATTGAGCTACAAATCAGCCCACACAGAAAACAGTCCACCCTTTGAATTAAATTGCCATGTTGACATATAGTTTTGATGGGAAACAGAACTGCTTCATTGTAGATTTTGCACACCCACCCACACAGAACATTAGTGATCAATGTGTATTTTCGCATGACCCATATGTCTGACTTTGTAATGATTCTTTGTTGGGAAACTGGGCATTGAACATTTGTGGGGTCACAAACGTTTTTATCAGGTCAATGCATGGGAAATAAGAACTGCAAAGGTGGTTTGACCACCATCAGTGACTAACACTGTCATTGTTGTATGCAGCTTTCATCTTGCCGATAGGGTTTCAACAAATGGATAGCACGATTGCATGTATACAGTACAGTGATTTAAATCACTTACAGACCAACCTGCACTGCAGTACTGCAGGGTGAATTTAACGGGAGATATGGTCCAATAGGACTTGTTTGCTCCCTGCATTTGCATGTCTGATGTTGTTTACTAAAAGATTTCTCAGTTTACTCCTACGTTTTTTTTTTTTGCTTGAGAAGGTACATCAGACAATCAAGACAATTTTTCAACGCCTTTTAAACACACCTCACGTTTCATCAAAAACATCACTGCAAGCCATAGTCTAACCTCTAATCAGATTGTTTGGAAATGCAATGAGCCACTGTTTTTAGTGTTGGATGTATGTTTGCAATCAAAAGTAATGAGAAAACTGGGAAGCAGCATTGAAAATATCTATGCTAATTAAATTCACTATCAGGTCATACCACATCACATTACAGACTAACAATGCCAACTAAATTATTATTAACAGTCATTTATTTTGGCAAACAATATGTATTAGTCATCATTATCAAAAAAGCCATTATTTCCAAAAATAAAGTAATTTTAACTCTTGCACAATAACTGTAACAGTCTGACCTAAGGGATATAAACTACTTCTTTACTGTGACAATGATTACATTTTTTCTGCAGCAGGCCTTTCCTGCTAAAGTTAATACATGTATGTCATACCACCAAGCAACATAAGCTCTGCCAAAGAAAGCTAGCCCTGCATCCAGAGAACACTATTTAGTTCAGTATAGGTCTATGGTACTGCAGTTATTTCAACTTGTCAGTTCTAACCTTTCTAGAAAAGTGAAAGACACTGTGCTTTTAGGTGAATTATGGTCTTATTAATTTTATCAATTTATATAAGTTTCTTATTATAAGGATGTGTCACACAAGGACTGGGAACTACCGAATTCACAAATTTGATTAGCCGAAATCGACAGTGAAAGCGGTCTAGATTTTCCCATCTAGACCGGCATCTAGACCGGTAAATGTTTTGTGGTGAAAAAGTTGCAAACTAAAATACAAAAATATTGACTACTTTCTTCTGACAATATTTATTAATTATTGAAGTGCCAAAAAGCCTGATGAGAAAAAAAGTAAAGAGGACAAGCAAACTTTGGCAGAATTAAGTTCAGCTCATCGCTGCTCACAAGCAAAATGTCAGTTACCTACAAACCAGTTACATTACACAAATTAAATTGTTCTTGTTTGCCATTTAATAAACATCTTATTAACTGAGCTTAGTCGGT